ATACCCACTTATAATGTGTGTGCGTATTACCAATTTTATAAATTTTATTATCAATTGTACGTATGTAGGCTTTGCAGCCTGAATTTTTTCTTGTGCAAACCCATTTTTTTATAAACTCCGTACTATTACGCTTGTCATTGCTGAAATTATAACCTTCATACTGGAGCATAGTGTTGCCATGTTTTGATGTCACGAAACTTAGTCCTAAAACAAAACAAACTATTTTAATATCACTTACATAAAAGCAAGAATTTAAATTGTAATATCAAATGTATAGAAAATACACCATTGCGTACGAAGGCAGAAAAAAGTTATCGAAACTCTTTGGTGACACTTCGCAGAATTGACATTTGACCTGTGTTGCGTGACATTTGAGTAATAATGTCATAATGTTTTATTTAGATGTTTTGTCTACGAAATACATTATATGTTCGTTATAATAGTTCCTTAATGAAATTATTTCATGTGAAAAACACGTTGCGGTGATGTATTAAAACAAAATCTAAGAGAGTGCGGCAAGAGAATATTTATTTACAGCCCATACACAGCCGAAATTCAACCATAAATATTACAAAACCATTATACAATCAAGCCACTTTTATAAAATCAACAGGAAACTATCTATTAATCTTTTCAAAGTATATTTTTAAATCAAAGTATAACGCTTCACAAATCAGTCGCTTTCCGGCGAAGAGTGGAGAAAACTATTAAGCTGCTAGTTAGCGGGGAATGGGAGCTTTTTGACGCTGGACAGTACGAGTCGAAACCACAGCAAAAAGGTTATGTTATCGGCAGTGGTGATAATTGTCCGGAACGTACAGTCTCATAATCTCTCCTAGAAAGTATGCCCTTTCCGATTCGTTATTAATTATCCTATGAAGTTCTAGTGAATCATACCCTCGAGAATTTTGGAATGAGGTAAGGAAAGAAGTTGTATCTTCATTTATATAAGGTTCTAAGGAACTTCTTTTGCACCATTTCAATCATTACCTTATAATACTTTTCATGAGGGGACCAAGGTTTTACGAACTGGCATCTGGACAATATAATTTTTATAAGTAATTTAAAAAAAAAGTTTTTTTCTCCAAAATCATTGGTATTTGAATATAACTTAGCATGCTGCTAGCATAGCGACCTCAAATCCCTTAATGATTCTCCGCCGGATGGACTAACTCATTTAAAAATTAAAAGAAAAGTATTTACGTCATATTTACTCTTTATTCAATAATTCAAATGAACGCCATCTATTGTCAACATAACTTTATTATCTCATTGTATTTAAAAAAAGAGAAAAAATTCAAATTAATTAAATTATTATTAAATTTAGTGTTTATGGGTCTCTCTAAGTTTGACAATTTGATCATCTATTGTGGTAACAAACGCGGTGCATCCTCGAAATTTTCCTGTGCACAACCATTTTTTCTTTATGCCCTTGCTATTACACTTGTCAAAGCTGTAATTAAATCCTCCATACTGAAGCATTTGGTTGCCATATCGTGACGTCACCATTCGCGTTACTAAAATTGAAAAATAATTGAGGCACATCATAAATAAATTATAATAATAGTGAAATGAATTTTTAATTCTTTCTAGGCGTGTTGAGGGAGTCATAAAATAGAGGACTTTGACCTAATTAATATTTTTTGTATGTGTGAGTTAATTTTTCTGTCTATGTGCGTAATAAATACTTCATTGAAGAACTTGTATCTCGTATAGGCCAAAAAATCTACGAAATGTGCTAGACACAAACAGACTCAGCTATGTGTCTTCCTCATAACTCAAACAAATGAAGGCTCTAAGTATGATTCCTGTGATGAATCTCTTCCATGGAAATATATATTCTACATATACCTCTTGATTTTGCACTTGTATCTTGTGGTGATAACCTCGACATTTTCTGTTTGCGTTCTTTACTAGAGTAGACTATATAGTTTAGAGTCAACTTAAGAATAATTATTCATGAAACAGAGGCTGTAATCTCCTCTCCGCATAAAAAGGACTTCTAAACTGCTATTAATTGAAAAAATATAGGCGTTGTAGCTGCATATTTTTTGTGCAAACCTATTTTTACTGTCACCCATGCTTTTTTTAATTCTGGCTGAAATTGTCTCGATAGCGATATCAAGAACTTGTTCTAAAGACATATTATGAACAATATAAATGTGGAATATCTGTATTACTTTTAACTGGGTTTAAATAAATAATTATACAATATACATTTTTTTATTGGATTATATTAAATCTATTATTACAAAATAGTCTTATTTAGGTTCAAACACTTTACCGGATTGTAACACAGCGATTCAAAAAAGGGGCTTAGCAAGTCTGACTTCCGTCAAAAATTTATTGGATTTTTATTCATAGTTATAGACTCAACGTAACTTACTTAATATATAGCGATATATTATCGAATATAAATAGCGTGTAATCCGATGGTATTTACATTAAAATAATTTACATATAAAATTATATTCTTACAATTTTTAAATTGATATTCATAATCGCATTTCAGCGCTAATTTCGTCTGAAAACCTACTTTAATAGTATTCTATCATAATTTAAGGTTGGCCTGTTGTTGCCTGTACAGACATACACAGGCACTTAGGCCTTCCCCACATTCCCGGCAAAACTACACGAAACTTGCCGAATACCGGAGTGTAGATAGAGTATTCGTATATATTTGTGTTATCTTGTATATATACATTATACACCTACAGCAGCAGCAGATATTTTTAGCTTGTCTATCTCGTGCGAGCGTCTATTTTCAACTGAACAAACCGAATGTAGAGAGCTGCTCTCGTGTCGCTAATGCTTGTATTCAACAAAGGTTTTGCCTCCCGGCAACCTCCGATAATGTAAATGAAATGTTTATCATAAACAACTTTTTTTCATTTTTTTTTATAGAACAGTGGGCAAACGGGCAGGAGGCTCACCTGATATTAAGTGATACCGCCGCCGCCCATGGACACTCAATGCCAGAGGGCTCGCGAGTGCGTTGCCGGACTTTTAGTTAATTAAACAGAACATTTTTCTATAACTTCCACTTATAAAATAAAAACATTATAAGAGGCTTTCGCCTTCATTTAATTTTTCCGTCTAGCCAAATGGTTGTGCGTGTGAGTATTGCCAACCTTAATAATTTCATCGTCGACTGTGACCAAATACGCGTTGCATCCATGGCTTTTTAACGTGCATTTCCATTTTTTCTTAAATTGTGTGCTGTTACATTTGTCAAGACCGAAATTAAACCCATGAAATAGGATCATTTCGTTGCCATATCGTGACACCACAAATGTTGCTCTACCTAAAAATAAAATACACAAAAATTCAAATATCAAACTACAGACGAATTCAGACTTAATTTGTTTAATTCTTATAATGAATAACTTCAAGATGTCATGAGGATGTGTAACGGTAGGAGCTTCTTCGACACATTTAATTTTGTTTTCTATTTATTTAACAAGACATACTAATCGATTGATTAGTATTCAATGATATGTATATGTTATTTGTATGATATGGTAATAAAAATTATTTGAAGCATAAACCACAAAGTCTTTCTTTGGTTTAGGCGTGAAATCAAATTTGACTATCTTTATTTACGTAATTCGTCATTCGAGTGCAGATACTTTAGCTAAAACTATTCAATTATATTCAGTTAATATAAACAAGGTGGTTATGATTCGATTGGTTTATAAAATTGGAATGTTTATTAAAATAACAATAAAAATAAATCAGTGGCGCTACAACCTTTTTAGGTCTGGCCCTCAGATTTATGTATATGTATCATGATAATTAGTTAATCTAATAGGCAAGTAGGTGATCAGCCTTCTGTGCCTGACGCACGCCGTCGACTTTTTGGGTCTTACCCAAGTCAGTTTCCTCACGATGTTTTCCTTCACCGTTCGAGCGAATGTTAAATGGGCACATAGAAAGAAAGAAAACTTTGAAACATTTGACACACAGTTTTATTATACCAACTTATTTCTATTCACAGTGACACTTTGACCTTTGTTACGATAAGTATTCTGTGGAACACAGATTATAATAATCTCCTTTGTCCGTGCGGAACAAGAATCGCACTAGTGGTTTTTTTGTTCTGTTGAACACTATTACATCATTATAGTTCGACAGTATCTTGATACTTAATTTGAAAAAATAAGGAAATAAGAATTATTTAAGTTCGCATAACGCCGGTTCTCTCCGCACAGACTCTACAAGATATTTATGTACTATTCTAAGTTAATTAAATTATTAGACTTCATTTATCATGTATGTGGATATTACCAAGTTTTACCAATTCATCATCTATCGTTATGAGATAAGCTTTACACCCTTTACTATTCTTAGTGCAAATCCATCTTTTCTTAATTCCCGTACTTTGCCTAGATACAAGGCTGAAATTATATCCTTGATACTGAGCCATCATGTTGCCTTTATTTGATAACACAAATTGGAGCGATCCTAAAACAATTTAAACTCGTTTAGCTTATCGACCTCAGTTCGACCTGATCGCTATCTAAAATATAAAATTATATAAAAGTGAAAAAAGTGTTTATTAATTTGTTAATAATCCCTTTAATGTGTTATGACTTATGTAACATTTGGGAACTCTTTTAAGTAAAAAAATACGTAAGAAATAAATAATATTACAATTATACCATTAAATAACCCGTAACAGAACATTGGCACTAAGGAAGAGTGTCACTGATTGCGGACATTTCCAAGTCGTTCAACGAAATCTCTCTTAAAAACAATTAATTAATTAAAAATGAACGAAAGGCAAACGGCGAAGGAAAAACTTTAGTTCAAAGGCGAATAAAATCTTTTTTATCAAATCTAAAGACAGTAATTGAAATGAATTAATTTTCATCTAACTTTGTAAATTTCAGCGACGCCTGCCTCGTTATCAAACAACCTACAGCGTTCCAAGCAGGTGTAGAATATCTTATGTACCTCCTTTAAAATAATACATAGTAGTATAACTTTGGTGATATATATTAATGTGAGTGGGCGTTTCCCATTTTAACAACTTCTTCTTCTATTGTGATAAGGTATGCTTTGCAGCCATAATGAGTCTTAGTACAAATCCATCTTTTCTTGACTCCCACGCTATGATACTTGTCCAGGCTGAAATTATATCCTAGACACTGAGCCATTAAATTGCCTTTACGAGATAGCACAAAACTGACTGTTCCTGAAAATATAGAAAGTGTTAGAAATGTCAAAGTCTAATGGGTCCCCGTAACAAGTTGGAAAATGCATATATTATCTATATATTGGTGTTCCTTTTAGTCGATTAGGTACAATACTTTTTAAATCATTGAAATCGTTAAATTGGTTGCGAAGATATTACACATTTTGTACAAGCCAACCGCAGGACGGCCGAAATGCTCATGTGACGTCACGATTTCCCTACCGCCCGCGCGCTCGCTCTCCGCCATTCATTTATTAAAGTTTACTCGATCTGCGCGGGTCGTGTTGTGGTTTTGTGGTTTTTATGTGAAAATATGCCGCATTATAAATACTGTATAGTACCGAAATGTACTAATACTTCAACTAGTACACCTGAAAAACTGTTTTTTAATGTGCCAAGGGACCTGAAAGTGCGCAATAAATGGTGTACTAAAGTAAATAAAAAACATTTTTATCTTCTATAATGCGTTTATTGTAATCCCTATTAGAAAGTCTACAAAAAGAAATTATGTGTCAATTAGTTTGGGGAATATATATTCCTTCCAAAATGTTGTTGCCTTTACAAGAAGATTCATACAGTATTCGTTATCATATTCCACTTCCAGTATGTCCACTTTTTGATTGTTTTCAAAATCTACATCTGCTACACAAAATAATCCTTTATTTTCTGTTACAAAAAACATTTGCAACTGTATTTGTGCTTTTGATTTTTTCGTCAAATCATTATTTTTTACAAAACTTTTTTTTCCTTTTTTAGTCATTGGACATTTTATCTCTACTACGAGCTCAGGCGTCAAACCATCTGGCGAAGCACCTAGGATTGGCCACTCGGGTTTTAAAAATAGACCACAATTCACTATTACTGTGTTCTTTAGTTTAGCCACCACTGCTCTTACTTCTGGTTCCAGACGTTTTCCTCTTTCCATAGCGACTGTCTCCTGTATGGATGCCCCGAAAATCTGTTCAACTAAAATATCATCAGTTTTGCAGTTTGCAGCTTTGTGAATTTTTGACGCCGTTACTCTGCAGTATCTTAGTTCCCTCCACAATGGTGAATCAGCTTGCGATAATGTTGCTTCTTCTGCTTTGCTACAGTCATCTATAGTCATCCGATTTGAGCAGAAGTCAATAAAATGAGCTGCATCGTTTATATCTATACCCTCTTTTCTAAACTCACTTATTAATACATGTAATGACATTTGTTTTAACGCGCTTTGTGGAACGCAATAGGCTGCCAGCTGGTTATGAAAAGATTTTTCTTGTAGTGTTTTTTTACAGCTTCTACAAATTGACCTTTGACATAACTGTCATCTTGATTTTTTGGTGTGCCTGATCCCATATCTTTAGCCTTTATAAATTTTAAAGTGGTGCCCACCGTAGATAATTTAGGCTTAGCCCAATAATATTTTTTTTCTGTTGGCGATGGTTCCTCGCTTCGTCTGTGAAGCCACATAAGAAATGCTACACCGTGCTTACAACCTCCCAGTTGAGCAGCACAATCATGAAACTCAATGTTTACTATTATTTCTTGTGTTTCATCATCAAGTAAATGTGCAGCAATAAGCTTTACCCTTTATTTTATGTTCTGGTGTAATTTTTGCTTTGACTGTGCATATATCTCCTGTTCTTTGCACTTGAACAAATCCCACAGCTTCATCACCATATGATTCACGCCCTGACCTGAAAAAATAATATCGTATCGTTTAGAATACGAATACATTAGCGATCTCATTAGGATTGCTTGTTCAAACAATCTAAGGTAAACGAATAAAGTATACCTACCGATTACTTTGTTTCTTATATTCATTTGCACTGACAAAACTAGACGACAACAATACGCAAGTCAATGAGATTTAAAATGAAATTAATCATTTCGTCGGGCACTTTTCTTACTTACCTACCAGCAATGTGCCGTCCGTTACCTACTAACAATACTAGGAACTAACTCCCAATAAGATTTCCGACTGGCAATGCCCCCAGAAACATAGAGAAGAATATTCCCGGTAACATGTTCATATCCGTAAACCTTATTGGGAATATTCCCGGGCCTGAATACGACCCTGTATTCCTGACCTTCTTATTATCCTGCTGTTTTGATTAGGTTGATAGTGAGATTTGCTTACCTCTGAAGTTTCCAACCACGAATTTCAGCGCTTGTGTAGTTTAAATGATACTAAGATAATCAAATACCATGAAGGTATCAACTTTAGGTAGATTATCGGATTGCGCTTGCTCAAAACCAATATCTACCTTATTTCTTACCACTCATTTGATATATTATAATAACAACCTTCTAATATTAAAGAAATCAAATCACTTATTAATCGATTGGGTTTAAACCGGTGACGTTACGCTCCGTGTTGGACGAGTATCGCGAACAGAATAAACAGCGCGGGGCGCGCTGTGGTTCGGCGGCAAGCGTTGAGATATTGTGACGTCATCGCTTGCATTCGCTCGGTCAGTAAACCTTGTTCGGTATTTTGCCCATAACTTTGTCAGTTTTGGTCGTAGAACAAAATTTTTTGCATTTTTGTTTTAGTTTCTCAAGGACTATAAAACTGCATTATAACATAAAACTATTACGGGTCCCCCTTGAAACTAAAAATATCAGTTGTAGTGAAAATTTTTCGGTACCTAGTAAAACAAATTGTTTAATAACAATGTCAACCCATTTTAATGTAATAGATATTTATTAAAACCTAAACATAACAATCAAATATACAGTATTTACACTTTTAATTTTTATATAATACCTACTATGGTTATGTAACTTCTCATATTATGTACCTTCAATGACTTTTTGGATTTATTAAATAATCTGTAAAACACAGCTTGAACGAGCGCAACAAACTACAAAACTCATATGGAGTCATAGTAAACACAGACTAAAGCGACACAATTAAAAATATAGCTATCTGTTTCCTTACCTAAGTAATTAAAGAGGATAGGTATAATTTTAAACTTCAGATAAGTTTACTTCAAGTTTATTAATAAAACTAATCGGATTCTCTTTGACGCAATAATTTCATAGCATTATTCATGTGTATGGTAATTACGAATTTTAACGATTACATCATCTATTGTGATAAGGGAGGCGTTACATCCTCCACGTTGATTAGTACAAACCCATCTCTTCCTGTATTCGGTACTATCCGACTTTCTAAAACTATAATGATGTCCTCTGTAACGGATCATTTTGTTGCCCTTCCGTGAAATAACAAATGTTAGTTGATCTAAAAATATCGCAATGTTAAATACTATGCTTATGTAACTTCTCATATGTACCTTCAATGACTTTTTGAATTTATTTAATAATCTGTAAAACACAGCTTGAACGAGCGCAACAAACTACAAAACTCATATGGAGTCATATTATACACAGACTAAAGCGACACAATTAATAAATAATAGTTTAAAAAAACTAGAACACACGCTTTATATAGAAAACTAAACTAAAAAACAGAAAATAAATTTTAATAAATATTAATTAAGAATAATGTAAATAATTCCTAATTTAGGCTGAAAATGCTAATGAACAAAAAATACTGGTATTATTTTGAAAAAGTGACGTGCGCTCTGTGCCATATTTTTCGTCTATCGAGCAACCCACGCTTTTTCAAAATAATACCAGTATTTTTTGTTCATTAGTCATTACCATTTTCAGCCTAAATTAGGAATTATTTACATTATTCTTAATTAATATTTATTAAAATTTATTTTCTGTTTTTTAATTTAGTTTTCTATATAAAGCGTGTGTTCGAGTTTTTTTAAACTATTATTTATTTTTTATTTTTTAGTCATTTTTTTTTTCGGATTATTGCATTGTCATCGATCTTTGACAAGTGCGCAAAGTTTGAATTGAATCTGCCCGTTAAAAGTGGGTCAAAATCGAGTCCGAAGGAGTCGGATAGATACATACATACATACGTATACATACAGGTGAAGCTAATATAAAGCGTATAAAAATATAGCTATCTGTTTCCTTACCTAAGTAATTAAAAAGGATAGGTATAATTTTAAACTTCAGATAAGTTTACTTCAAGTTTATTAATAAAGCTAATCGGATTCTCTTTGACGCAATAATTTCATAGCATTATTCATGTGTATGATAATTACCAATTTTAACGATTACATCATCTATTGTGATAAGGGAGGCGTTACACCCTCCATGTGAATTAGTACAAACCCATCTCTTCCTGTATTCGTTACTATCCCTCTTTCTAAAACTATAATGATGTCCTCTGTAACGGATCATTTTGTTGCCCTTCCGTGAAATAACAAATGTTATTTGATCTAAAAATATATCAGTGTTAAATAATAAGTTTATGTATTAATATGTCAAATAATTCTAGGATATTATTGTTGGGTTATTAAATAAACTTTTAAGTGATCAAATTCATGTTTAATATGTTCAGCCCACTTTTTTCATAACTCAAATTGACTCGACACATGAAGAGGATAAAGCTTTTAAATAAATTAACTACATTTTTATAAAATTCAAATTCTTGGTCTGCCTTTTCCAATCTGTATTTTGTAAACATGCACCATTAGGCCAGTCATTATAGACATTCGAAATCGAAAATTTGATAATAATTCCAAAAGTTTTCAAACTTCGGTCAAGTGAATGTAATTGGGACGACAATAAATCTCATTTTGCAACCTTGTCCGCAGTCCGGAAATTGTTAAAATTGCAATTAAATTAATTTTGTCTGTATGTCTAAAAAAATTCGTTCTGCAAACTTGGGGAAGTTTTCGATATAATATTTCATATCACGTATAAAATTTGCAACCAACCTAAGTGTACGGAACATTTTTTGTTATTTATTTTATTTTCGATATATCTGTCAAATTTGCAGAACTTTTGGAACGTTTTCCTTCAGTTTAATAAAGAACAACATTAATTAAATAATGTTCCGTACACTTAAATTGGTTGCAAATTTGACACGTGATGTAAAATAATATATTTAACACCACTCCAACTTTGCAGAACTTTTGGAATTTTGGTCTCAAGAACTAAGCAAATTATCATTTATTGCATTTTTAACAATGTTCCGACCGCAGAGCAGGTTCAAAATTTTATAGTTTGTTTTAATACCACTCCCGACCTTACATCAAAATTTGAAAACTTTTGGAATTATTATGAATTAATTGTCTTGACTGACTGGTCTACATATAGTTAGCGCTACTTCGTGGCTTACAGCGTCAAGATTTTGTTATACATATAAGATAAGTTACATAGATGTGAATCTACGTAGTTGGTCCCAAAGTTCTTCACTAGCAATATTTCTACATTTGAGGATTTTATAAAAAATATCATTTATTTTGGAATTTGATTATTGTTTTAAAACAAAAAGCAATAACTTTCCGTAATTTTTCACGAATGGACATTGAAAGTAACCGAAGTTTTTTGGTTGCACGCTTGGACACTGCGAGTACCATTTTCAAGTTGCTCAAAAATTTGAATATAACGCTTGTTTGTTAGGTACTATTGATAGGTACCTTGAATTCAGTGTTGAGGACAAGAAAGAACTGCTGGCCACCTCCGCAAGAACACCAGCAGTAATCAAAGCTATCAAGGCGCGGATAGTAAGAAATCTGTCCGAAAACAGAAGTTGATGGATTTGCAGATGGTTAGTAGGAAAACAGTAAAAAGGTTTTAAATGAAGATCTTGGTCTACGAGCATACAAAAGAGTGGGCACTTACTTAATGCTCGTCTAAAAGCAATAAGGCTTAAGAGATCGGGGTTTGTTTAAGGGTACGCGAAAAACCGACACCGTGATATCCTCTTTACGACGAAAAATTTTTCGAATTAGAGAAGTACAATAAACAGAATTATAAGTGTACGCTAGGAGTTCTGAAGAAGCTGAAAATAAAGTTCCAAGGGTGCAACATGGACATCATCCATCATGTATGTTTGTTGGAGTGTCCTATTAGGGCTAACTGAGGTTATTTTTTCGAAAAGGGGGTCAAAAAGTGCTACAGTTCAAGAGACGGTTTTGATCGCTTGTCAAAGACATGTCCAGCACCCTTTTGCGGACATCACTTGTGTTCCAGCAGGACTCTGCGTCTGCATACAAAGCCAAGACCACTAAAGCCTGGTTTGAGCGTCAAAACATCGTCTTAATTAGACATAGGATTGCCTTCCTCCAGTCCGGACCTTAATCCTTTGGACCAGAAATTATGACAGGCTTAGAGAGGAAGGTCTGTGATAAACCTCATGAAAATTTGGAGAATCTGAAGTCATCTTTAAAAACCAGTGACTGAAATCGACACGAATATGGTGCGTGCTGCGATAGACGACTGGCCGCGAGCTTAAGGGCCTGTATTAAAAATGAGGAGGTTATTTGAATATTTTTATGTTTTTTATTCCTTAATTAATACTAAGAATTGATAATCACTCATTACAAACTGATCAGTATTTGTTTTTATCATTTTCATTTTGACAGACTTTGGGACCATAGTAATTGATTAGTAAATGATTAACCTGATTTTTTTTAAATTACTTCTAATGTTTTGTGTTAGGTGTGTTAAATTTTTATTAAATTTAGTGTCCGTTCTGTCTATTTTCATCTTCAGTCGTGTTAATGGTGCTTCACGCTCCCCTATCTTCGTCAAGCCTCTGAGCGTGGGTGATTGTAAAACATAAAAGGGCCTTTCCTTGATCAGTTCAGTGAGGATAGGGTCGGCCAATATCCATAAATCATAAATCAGGTTTCGTTGGTAACAAATTGTCTTTTTTTGTAGCCATTATCTTTGATACCTTTTGTTCCCAGTCCGTCAGTATTAGTACGCTGGTAGGGATACTTTGTTGTTGCAGCTCTGGCGCTCTATGTCTGTGATTATATATACATTACAGCTGCTTGTGATTATTAAGATATTATTATTAATACTCACATGCATATTATAGCTATTTTCTGTCACAGGTCTTTGACTTACTAGGGAGGCCTTAATCTGTATAATACTCTATGTATAATACTTAGCTAAACTATTTATGCGTGTGATTATTTCCGAATTTGAGAACTGTATCGTCAAATGTGACTATGAATGCTCTGCATCCACGGTAACTGCTTGTACAAGTCCATCTCTTTTTAAATTCATTGCTATGACGTTTGTGGAGACTAAAGTTGTATCCTTGGTACTGGATCATTTTATTTCCTTGTTGTGATTGCACGAATATGGGATGTCCTTAAAAAATAAATTAAGCGTTAACCAACTCTTTAAAGGCCGAAAACGCACTCGCCCTCTGGCATTGAGAGTGCCCATGAGCGGTCGTATCAGTTAACATTAGGTGATACCACCGCCCATACACTCTCCGTTTGCGAAAAAAACGATGTCATCGATCCAGGGTTGATCATTATTAACGTATATATAAAGCATATATGTGCTCCAATTACCAGCATCTGATGTACTCATATCTATAAATTAAGTAATACAATTAACATCTACGAAAATAAGAATGATTTCGATTCAGCGGTAGAAACAATAATTTAACTACAATGTCACTATAAATCAAACAATTAAAATATTGATACATTATTTACTTATGTTATACTGACATAAAAGTAAAACTTGGAAATTCAGATCCTACAACATATATAATTCAATACAAAAGGTTTTATAATCTCTTGTTAAAAAATTGCAGGTAGATAAGAATATCTGCCTGAAATTTTTAACGGGACTAAACATTTAATCATTTATTTATAATTACACAATACATTAGCGATTCAAAAAATAAATTTAAGTAAATTTATTAAAACCTAAACACAATCAAATACGGTATTTACAATTTATTACCCTCCATAGTCATAATAACAATAATTAAAAATTAATAAAAAGAAAATTAAAACAAATTAAAAAGTTTGGTCCGGCAGTGTTCCTTTAACGCTAGAAGGACTAGCTCTGTGGTCACCAGCACTATCCACCAGGCGCCAACTTAAATCTTTAATTAACGCCTGTGCACTTGAACCCCACGGCCAAAGAGTTCTAGAACCTCCAAAAGGAATAAAAAAGACTTATATTTGAGCCGTTTATTATTTCCGCGTGCTCTGCGGCCGCTCCAGCTTTTTTGCTTGTGAGACGAGGATAACGTGGCGACACAAGGAGAAAATTTTAGTAATGACTTAACATTTACTTTTATTGTTTATTTTTAAATTTAACTGTTACATAGATAATATACATCAGCAATTTAGTCCGGTCAAATAAGGTCAAAAAACAAGAGCGAAGCTACCAGAATTATCATCAAGCTGAAACTGAGTAAACTTGTTCAAAACACAATTATAAACCACTTTTCAAAATTCCCCATCGTTACAACCCATGGAAAAAAATTTACTCAAGGCCAAAGGTTAAAAACCTGAGACAAAAATTGTAGATCATAAAATTATCTATAAAAACGGTATCAATTTTTTTTTCCTAAAACCTTCTGAGATTAAAGATTAAGATTCAAAAGGTTGTAAGCGTCATTTTATACACACGTTTCCACGCCACCTCTGAGGTAGTGTACTTAGCGCTACAACTTACTTACAACTTTTTGAATCGTTTCAGCTTGATGGTAATTCTGATAGCTTGTACCGTATAGATTAACCGGACTAATTTTACATGGAAATAAGTATTATTCTAGGTCAGTAATTTTCTAATGAGTGTGTTGATTTCCGCATTTGTAAATTTCATTTTCAATTGTGACAATGAAAGCTCTGCATGCACGGTTTGTCATTGTACAAGTCCATCTCTTTTTAAATTCATTGCTATCCCGTTTATGGAGACTGAAGTTGAATCCTTTATATTTCATCATTTGGTTGCCTCGTACCGATAAAACGTAGACTGGTTTTTCTAAAAAAAAAAAAGGTTTTTATTAATTATAAGTTCTAAAATACCTGTGCCTTACTTCCAAAACAAACTTAATAGTCTATTCCATTACAAATTCATCAATTTTTATTTTTTTACATTTTTGAATTTTTTTTACAACAACTTCTCCCAATTTTACGCGACATTATAACTAGGTATATATATAGCGTGAGTGTAATGTACTACACTAATGCTAAGGTAATAATCGATTAAAGTGGAATTATACACAAACTCAATATATTTCAAAAGGCGGTCGCAGTGCTGAGACCAATTTAATTCAGTTCAATGGAATGCAGCAACTACAATTTTCTAGAATCTTCCTTATTTATTTTAAAGTTTAAAAACCTTTTTTTAAAATCGATTTTAATGCAGAAATAATGATTATAACTGAATATATTTTTTACAGTATATTT